ACTTGGGTATCTAGCAACGAGAGTTGTGGGTATTCATGTTTGGGTGTCTCGGAAGGCAACCATGTTGAGTTGAGCAGCAGTAGCAATGTTATGCTAGAGTGTAGGTTGAAGTTGAGTGAAAGTTAAGGAGTCTCCCCCATCTTAATTCCATATCTGTTCCCCCTTATTTTGTTTTCTGTGCTAGAGCTTTTCTTGCCTCAGCATTCGTAGGCCGTGTTTTTTTCACGATTCTTTTGTCAATTTATGACATTTTAGGTCATGAAAAGTGAATATGTAATTTAAAATTTGTATTCTATTTAAAAAATGTTGTAAAATATTGAACTAAAGTGAAAGAACATATATTTACAGATGCATGACTTTTGGTACTTTATGACGATTTTTAACGTCACGAAAGGTCATACAATTTCGAGATTTCATGAAACTTAAAACATCACAAAAAATTTCACACATCTGTTATCCATTTTGATCGTTATGTTTGTGGATGAAGTGAGTTTTTCATATGTTATGTGATTATTAGGAATTTTAGTTGGTTTGTTTAGTTTCAAATGAGTGTCATATGTCTGCCCCGCCTGTACTCCAATATGTTTTCAAGTTAAACTACAGTTTCATGAAAAATTTGACAAAGTCTGTGAAGGTCAGCAACGACATTGACTCTAAGGACCCTTAAATTTATAGATTTTAAAAAATAGATTTAAGTCAAAATATTATTTGCAAATTTTATTTTTGACTTTTTCATTTTATCTATATATTTCAATACCAAAATTTTTCATATATTTTAAATGTAACGAAAAGTGAATATGTAATTTATAATTTTTATTCTATTTAAAAATGTCGTAAAATATTATTTAAATATTAACTTCCAAACCATTGCAAATTTTATTTTTGACTTTTTCATTTTATCTATATAATTCAATACAAAATTTTTCATATATTTTAAATATAACGAAAAGTGAATTTGTAATTTATAATTTTTATTCTATTTAAAAATGTTGTAAAATATTGAATACATTTTTTTTAAGTGAAGTAACATATATTTATAGATTTTTTTGTACTTTATGATGATTTTTGAACATCACGAAAGGTCATAAAATTAAGAGATTTCATGAAAGTTAAAAACATCACAAAGACTTGTTTCTCTCTTCGTTTCTTCCCTAGCCTCTCATTCCTTTTGTAACGCCCTGCGTTCTC